AGCATGGAGGCTGGCTGTGATTTTATGGAAACTGAAGCGTGTTTCCATCCCTGTGAGTACTCAGGGGAGTCAGATTTACAGCCCACTTTGTGTGAACAATAAAATATGCACAACTCAGGGTCTTTTGTAATTTGTTGAGCTCATGTTTCACTCCCTGAAGTATGTATTTTTGCCTTTTGTGTTGATGTAGTTCTGTCAACCCTCTCAATCCCTTTCATGGAACAAGGACGGACACAAAAAAGAAAAAAAAATACTTGGCCCATGGCAGGCATTTTATTCATAACCATCTATACCTTCCCCCCTTCCAAAAGAAAGTAAAACAACTCTAAAATTAAAATATAGTTTGATTCTGCTTTGAACTTTGTAGATTTTCTGACATTACGTTAACATATTCTCTGTGCAGTACAGCAAATGACCTAAAAGCTTTCCATTCTCCTTCTCTCTTGCCCATCTTGGATTACAAAAGCCAGAAATCCAGATATTCTGTTTGCCAGCCCCTCTTGCAAGTAGACCAAGTTCCAGGGTGGCCAGATTTAGCAAATAAAAATAAGGGACACCCAGGTAAATCTGAATTTCAAATAAGCAACATATAACCTTTTCTGTTAACTATGTCCCATGTAACGTTACTCATATATTAAAAATTCTGTGGTGTAAGGGCACCTGGGTGGCTCAGTGAGTTAAAGCCTCTGCCTTCGGCTCAGGTCATGATCTCAGGGTCCTGGGATTGAGCCCCGTGTCAGGCTCTCTGCTCAGTGGGGAGCCTGCTTCCCTCTTACTCTCTGCCTGCCTCTCTGCCTACTTGTGATCTCTGTCTTTCAAATAAATAAATAAACTTAAAAAAAAAAAAAAAAGGAATTCTGTGGTGTTTACCTGAAATTCAAATTTAACTAGGCACCTGGTATCTTATTTGGCAATCCTACCCAGTTCCTACTATAAGATAGAAGGGGAAAGTATATTGAAGAACATTTGAGAATAATTTTATTCTGGATAAAGAGATAGAGACTACTGAAGAAAAGACCCATCTTTTTTACTACCAAGAATGCAGCTGTGATGCCTGGCAGTCTAGCAGTTACTTTATGATTATAAGGTAACATACAAAAGATTAAAAGTCAATATCTTGATGAAGACAGAGCACAGAGAGCAAATCGAGGTCTTTAATGATATTCTTCAATATCATTCAAAACCCACTGGCGTTTTGGTGGGTTTGGGTTTTGTTTTCTGTTTGTTTATTGTTCATGGTTAGTAGCCATTTCTGCTACTAAATATTCAGAAGCTGAATAAAACCTGTAATTTTGGAGAAAAAGAGCCACTCTTCATCACTGACATCCAGAACAGCCCCAAAGTTAGAAATGAGCCAATCTCATAAATGGGGAAATCGATTAGGAATAGATGAGTAAATGAGACAGCAGGACAATCACACCCTTAAGCAATGTTAGGGCCTGCACTGTTAGGCGCAAGGGTAGAGGGGATACATGCAGTGCAGCTATCAAAAGCACAAGTTCTAGCAGCACCTGGGTGGGTTAGTCAGTTAAATGTCTGCCTTCAGCTCAGGTCATGGTCTCAGGGTCCTGGAATCGAGCCCCGCATCAGGCTCTCTGTTCAGCAGGGAGCCTGCTTCCCCTCTATCTCTGCCTCTCTACCTACTTGTGATCTCTCTGTGTCAAATAAATAAATAAAATCTTAAAAAAAAAATTCAACAGAGCAAAAGAAACAGGAAAAAAAAAAAAAAAGCACAAGTTCTAGAGCCAAACTGCCTGGCTTCAAATCTACTTCCATCATTTATTAGGCTATATGACTTTGGACAAATTACCAAATCTCCATGTGCCTTTATTTCTTCATCTAAAATGAGGATGAAAACAGAATGTGGCATAGACATGTTATAAGGACAAGATGAGTTAATACAGTAAAGCAATTAGAAACAGAAATACATAATCTGTTAGTGATCCCCACTGGCATGCTGGCATGCTCCCTCATACGCGGCTGATCATCTAGCCAAGGCGCTGTTCCCTCACCTCTTTGTGTCATACTTCCTCAGGAAAGCTTCCTTGACCAGCTGCAATGGCTAGGCTACTTCACTTACGTGAATCCGTGGCTGTCTCGCATGTTTGCCATGCGGGATGGCAAGTCATGTTTGTTTGTTTGTTTGTTTTTTAAGATTTTTATTTATTTATTTGACAGACAGAGATCACAAGTAGGCAGAGAGGCAGGCAGAGAGAGAGGAAGGGAAGCAGGCTTCCCACTGAGCAGAGAGCCCGATGCGGGGCTCGATCCCAGGACTCTGGGATCACGACCTGAGCTGAAGGAAGAGGCTATAACCCACTGAGCTACCCAGGTGCCCCTGGCAAGTCATGTTTAACTGTGTCTTCTCCAAAACGTATGAAAGACCTCAAGTTAAGACCTAAAACTATACAAATGGCTAACAAGTATTTGAAAAGATGCCCAAGGTCACCAACCATTAGGGAACCACAAAACAAAATTACCTTGATATTCTTCTTCACACCCATTAGAATACCAATTTGCAAAACAAACTGACCCAGAAAATAACAGGTATTGTGAGGTTGTGGAGAAAGTGCAACCTTTACCTTAACTGATGAGAATGGAAAACAGTATGGAGGCTCCTCAAAAAATTAAAAACAGAATTGTCATATAAACTCAAAATTCCACTTTGGGGATATAGACTAAAGAGAGTTGAAAGCAGGAACTCAAACAGGTGTTTGTATGCCAATGTTCACAGCAGCATTATTCATGGTACTAAGAATTAGAAACACCCGAATGTCCTTTGATAGATGAATGGATAACTAAAATGTGGGAGGAGGGAGGAAGAGGGAGGAAGAAGCCTATGGTGACTCATGAACACCAAATCCTGGGCTTCCAGGAAGAGGAAGCACTGGGCACAAAGAGGAGGAAAAAGTACCGATGGGTCAATGGAAGGGTGTCTAGGAGGTCAAGGGAGGGGCAGTGAGATCACCCCTCAAGGAGAGAGCTGGTCATCCATGTCAGAAGTTGCGAAGAAGTTGAGACAGTCAAGCACTGAGAAGCGGTCACTGAGTATGATGGTTTTGATGTCACTGATGTCCTTTCTGAGTTAAGTTGTGTGTGTAGAAGTGACAAGAGGTTTTAGAAGAGGCGGTGAGTGGCAAGAACTCCTGCCGAAAGTGAGGTTCAAGTTCCAGCCCGAAAAGCCGAAACATGTTTCTGAAAGCTGTCTCAGTCAGAGATCTGGAGGAGGGTGGCAGGGACAGGGCATGAAGGCCGACTCCCAGGGAAGGGGGGACCCTCTGTCCCTGGCAGCCCTCTGCACTCCCGTGAGAAACTGCGAGATGCTGGAGCCACCTCTCCCCCGTGTCGTGCTTCCCAACTTCAGCATTTCCAATATATCTCCTCTGTGATATCTGCAGCATCCCTGGACTGCATCTGCTAGTATTTCCCTAGTAACTGTCTTTAAATGGACTCCCCATAAAATGAAATGGGCAGGTACTTTAAGGGACATCTCATAACACAACTGTCAACAGGAATGGTGCATCATTTGCCTTGAACAGAAGGTAATCCACAAAAAGAAATACTAGGGAAAAAAGAAATATAATGGAAGCAAAGCAAGGTGTTTTCAATTCTAGCCAGATTCTGCTGCTGCCTCAGTTAGTGAAGTTCTAACACTCCAACCTTAACCTCTGATGAAAACCAAAACCAAAACATCAGGAACAATCCAACATGGTATATATCTACATGCATAAAAATGAAATAAGTATTAAAAAGCAATACTCACCTTTCCTACTAGTTGTGTGCTAAAATATTTTCTATTCTATATTTTTTCTAAAATAGTGGATTTGATCCACTAAATGGATTCACCATCCACTAATGGCTTGATCCCACGGTTTCAAAACCACTGGATCAGTGAATGTTACAGAGGTGTTAAAGGCCTACCAGTACCAGCCTGAGAGCTTCTCCTTGAACTTCTTAATACTCGAAAGATCTCTGAAAAGGAAGTAACTTTTTCACAGGGCAATTCATTGTTATTTCATGCAGTATCAGTCAACCCCACCAACAGGCATGATGTCCCACTCTTTAAACACGGACCGAGGATTCCGCTTGCTGGGAGAAGAGGCTGTCCTCTCTTTGGGAGGGGAGAGGGCCAGAGGGCATCCTCACTGCCATCCCACACAGGCAGGATCAGGTACACAGCCCTACCCAACAACCAGAAGAGTCATCAGGGTGGATGGGCCTTACGTTTCAGAATTGCAGGATAAGTGTCCTGGGCCCCATGCATCTGTCCAATTCCATTAGTATCCTGTGACTCCTGTAACAGATCAGCACAAACCTTTTGGCTTAAAACACTAACATTCTCTTATGGTTCAAGAGGCCAGAAACTTGGAATCCATTTCAGTGGGCTCAAGTTGTTGGTAATGCTGGTTCCCTCTGGAGGCCCCAAGAGTCTGTTCTCTAGCTCTTCCCAGCATCCGGTGGCCACCTACATGGCTGGTTTGGCCCCTTTGCCATTTCCAACATGCACTGTTCCTCTCTAAGTCCATCAGCACACCTCCTTCTCCTCCTCCCCCCGCCTCTCCTTGTAAGGACCCTGTGATTGCACCGGGCCTACTGGATACCCCGGGATAATCTCCCCATCTCAAGGTCCTTAGCTTAATCACACCTGCAGACCCCCTTCGCCATATGAGGTAACACATTCAAAGGTTTGAGGGACAGGAGTGGACATTTTAGGAGTCATCATTCAGCCGGCTGCAATAAACCAAGAAGGACTTGGTCCTGGCCAGGGCAGGTCCCGGCCAGGGCAGAGACAGGAGCCGAGAAGAGCTCTGGCCTTGGGTGGAGGCCTGGGTCAAGGTAAACCCTCACGTGGACTCTAGGGCTTGAGCTCAGGCTGACTCATAGGGAGCAAGTGAAGGCTGGAGGAAGATTTGGGATCTTTGGTATCAGCTGATGTGGAGGTAAACCAGAGCCCACCCAGGGCAGTGGGGAGCGGCGGAGGACCAACGCGTGGGCGATTAGCAACAAATGGGATTTATTTCAACCATAAGTCAATGGGCACAGAAGGTGGTGCGACAGCCCTAGGAGCTGAGGCTTCTCGGGGTGTGGGATGAGGCTGATGGGCCAGGTCTGGCCACCACCCAGGAAATGCAGCCCAGCAACTCTGGGAAGGTCAGTTTCTTCAGCTGCCAGCTCAGCATGGGCCTCCAACAGATCAGTAAGTGATTTCCTTCAAACCTGAGGGAAGGAAACACACAGACGCTGTTAAGAGACGCACACCAGAGAGCAGCGCAAGCAGACAAAGGTAGGAGAATGAAGCCCTGCTGGATACCTCCTCACCGCAGCTCTGCTCTCCCGAGTGGTAAGAGGAGATCATCCACAAGGAAGCAAGAAGTTGGACGAGGCTGTGTTTACAGGGATTTTGAAGGGATTCAGAAAGCACTGTCATGGTTCATGGGCTCTGCAGTTAAGGCTGGAAGTCTACCCACTCCGCAATGAACCCTGAGCAAATGCAGAGACAGGACGATCCTCACGTCGCACGTACAGCTGTCACAAAGCAGCCCCCGACATAAAAATGTTCTGGGTGTTGTTAATTTATAAAAACTAGAATCAGCTTAATAGTATTATAAACAAACTACATTTCCAGAAGTGTGGCAAAGTTGAGTCGATTCGGGCATAGTGTCATGACAGAAGCTTTATAAAGCTATGAAAATTATTCTCACTGGGAGTTTCTCACAGCGAGGGGAAAAGGCTGTTATGATACCAATGGAAAAGATCAGGACTCCAAATACATAAGTGCAGAAATTCAATTCTGCTAAAAATGAAAAATTGCTAGAAAAAGAGTGGAAGGAAAAAGTTACCAGAGGTCATCTCTGAGTGACATGCAGCTGATTTTTTTTTTCTTCACTGGACTTTTTAGATGTTTCCAAAGTCTCTATTAAGAATGACATTTTGGGGGGCACCTGGGTGGCTCAGTGGGTTAAGCCTCTGCCTTCGGCTCAGGTCATGATCCCAGGGTCCTGGGATCGAGCCCCGCATCAGGCTCTCTGCTCAGCAGGGAGCCTGCTTCCCCTTCTCTCTCTGCCTGCCTCTCTGCCTACTTGTGATCTTTCTCTCTGTCAAATAAATAAATAAAATCTTAAAAAAAAAGAAAAAAAATGACATTTTGGGGTGCCTGGGTGGCTCAGTCATTAAGCGTCTGCCTTCAGCTCAGGTCATGATCCCAGAGTCCTGGGATTGAGCCCCGCATGGGGCTCCCTCCTTGGCAAGAAGCCTGCTTCTCCCTCTCCCACTTCCCCTGCTTGTGTTCCCTCTCTCGCTGTGTCTCTGTCAAATAAAATCTTAAAAAAAGAAAAAAAAGAATGACGTTTTAAAAACTGGATGGGGGCAGACAACAGTATAAAACCCCACTAATAAATTCTTTCAAATAAAAAGACAAATTTAAAAGGATTTTGTGGGCTGAACTGCTGGGTAAATTTATAAACTACTGGAATGCTAAGCCCCAGGGGGATAATTAACAGCCTCGTATCAGCATGGAATGTTCGCAAGGAGGCCGCCCCTGCTGTGTCATGTTCTGTGTTTTGTCTGGGCTCCCTGCCTAAGGCTGTATATCTTTGGACGAGTCTGCAGGACACTGCCCACGGGACACCTGAAGGGGGGCTACTCCAGTTGAGGCTACACTGGGATCTGAAATGGTCTCCACTGGGCTGGGAAAATGCCCAAGAGAGGACCCCGGAGGAAGCAAGACCCACGTGGGGCAATTGGAAAGGAGGAACTGGGTCAAGACTGAGGAAACGAGTAACACTGAACAAGGATCCACGCTCACGCCACAGCCTCCCTCTGCCAGGCGAGGGGACTTCACCTTCATCACAGAAGGTAAGGGGAGAAATTCAACCCGCAGTTACATGGGTTTGCTGGAGACATGCAGGACAATATGCGTGCCTGACCTCTAGTAAACCTGGTTATAAGGTGAATCAAAAGACAAACATTGGTTACTTTTATTAAGATTATTGCTCTAAGCTCTGAAGGTGTTTTCCCTTCCAGCAGAGGAAATGTCAGAGAACACCTCTAAAGGGCTATGGATTTGTCTATGGAATTGTCTGAACAATTCGCCTGGTTTCTGTGCTATACAAATAGAGGCTAGGACAGCTCATTTTCCACCTACTGCTCATGGACACATGCGTCTGATACGCCAGTTCTTTCCAGGTATGTCTTATGGTGCTTTGGAGTCAAAAGGTCCCCATTTCTAGGGCAAATCAACAGAAGTAAAATCATGTACCGAGTTCATGTCCTCCTTTGGTTGCCCAACAAAGGCAGTAATGCTGCATGAGCTGTTCGAGAAGCTCCATTTCATCCAGGAATTCAAGTGACTCTATTCTGTGGGGAGAACAAAAGTAGGGCAACATCAAGTTCTACAATTAAAAATGAAGATGAGGAGCCGAAGTTTATGGATATGGAAAGGTGTTCATATTATACTAAGAGGAAAGAAGCATGGTGCAATACAGTACCTATGATGCGATCTTTATTTAAAAAAAATACCATAAATAAAGTCAAAAGACAAATGACAAACTAGAAAAAAGAATTGCAACACAAATGACAAAGGGTAGATTTCCTTTCTCTGTAAAGAGTTGTTAAACTTCATGAGAAAAACTTTTTAAAAACTCAGGTTTAAAAGACAGGTAAAAGACATATTCACCAGAAAAGAAAAACAAGACGCTCTCAATCTCATTAAAATATGAGATACTTTTTCAACTATCAGATTGATGAAGATCAAAAAAGGCTGATATGCACTTTAACAAGGACATGGGGGGAAAGATACTCACTGTCCTGTGTTTACCAGTCAGATTACAAAATGGTACAACCTCTCTGCCCTGCAACTGGATCTCCTCTATCGATGCTGAAAATGCACATCCTCTTACCAAGCAATTCTGCCTTTTTAATTTTTTTTTATAGATTTTTAAAAATTTATTTATCAGATAGAGATCACAAGTAGGCAGAGAGGCAGGCAGAGAGAGAAAGGGGGAAGCAGGCTCCCCGCTGAGCAGAGAGCCCAATGCGGGGCTCGATCCCAGGACCCTGGGATCGTGACCCGGGCGGAAGGCAGAGGCTTTAACCCACTGAGCCACCCAGGCGCCCCCAGCAATTCTGCCATTTAAAAATATATTTTTGTTTATTTATTTGACAGAGAGAGACACAGCAAGAGAGGGAATACAAGCAAAGGGAGTAGGAGAGGGAGAAGCAGGCTTCCTGCTGAGCAGGGAGCCTGATTAGGGGCTCAATCTCAGGACCCTGGGATCATGACCTAACCTTCAGGAAGACACTTAACAACTGAACCACCCAGGTGTCCCACTCAGCAATTCTGCCTTTAAGATTTTGCCCCATGAGGGGTGCCTGGGTGGCTCTGTTGGTTAAGTGTCTGCCTGCAACTCAGGTCATGATCCTGGGGTCCTGAGATCAAGCCCCGCATGGGCTCTGGCTCCCTGCTCAGCGGGGAGTCTGCTTCTTCCTCTTCTTTTGCCTCTCCCCTGCTCATGGTCTCTCTCTTGCTCTTTCTCTCTCTTAAATAAATAAATAAAATCTAAAAAAAATTTTTTTTACTCTATGAGTACAAATATGTATATTCCAGAATATTCACTGCAGCAACACAGCATCAAACCTTAAACCAGAAGAGCTGGGTTAAATAAATTAGGCTCTGGCTCCCTGCTCAGCGGGGAGTCTGCTTCTTCCTCTTCTTTTGCCTCTCCCCTGCTCATGGTCTCTCTCTTGCTCTTTCTCTCTCTCAAATAAATAAATAAAATCTAAAAAAAATTTTTTTTACCCTATGAGTACAAATATGTATATTCCAGAATATTCACTGCAGCAACACAGCATCAAACCTTAAACCAGAAGAGCTG